TTACTAAAATACTCAATAATGATAACTTTTTTATATGTAAATCTGATAGTAAAGAATGTTGTAAGTTTTATTATTCTGTGAAAGGATAAATTTTATAATATAACCTAATCATATGTAAGCGAATTGAGAAACGTGAGTTATTAGAATGCCTTGAATTTATGTCAAATCCTTGTAAGACATTAGAATTTTTAAAAGAGATTTCAATACTAATCTCCTTATTCGAAAATTAGTGAATAATATAATAAAAAGAAGTGACAATACCTTTGATTTTACTAAGATTTAAGAGTGCATTAACATAACAAATAGTCAAGTGTGTGTTGAATCGAGCTTGCTCTATAATATTTGCTAAAAGTTCAAATAATGTTGTCCTGATAAATTGAGAGTTGCAAATTAAATTCTGTCTACCAAAGTTATGAATTAATTTTACCAAATTATGTTTACCAGAGTTACAAATTAAATTCTACCAAAATTTTGTTTACCAGAGTTACAAATCAATTCTACCAAAATTATATTTACCAGAGTTATGAATTAATTCTACCAAAATTATGTTTACCAGAGTTATGAATTAATTCTACCAAAATTATGTTTACCAGAGTTACAAATTAATTCTACCAAAATCATATTTACCAGAGTTACGAATCAACTCTACCAAAATTATGTTTACCAGAGTTACAAATCAATTCAACCAAAGTTATGTTTACTCGAGTTACAAATTCATTCTAGCAAAATTATATTTACCAGAGTTATGAATTAAATACTACCAAAATTATGTTTACCAAAGTTATGTATTAATTCTACCAAAATTATATTGACCAGAGTTTGAATTAATTCTGCAGAAATTATGTTTACCAGAGTTTCGAATTAATTCTACCAAAACTATGCCAAATTATGTTTACCAAAGTTACGAATTAATTTTACTGATATTATATTTACCGAAGTTATGTTTACCAACCAGAGTTCAAATTAATTTTTTTTATTTTATTTTATTTTATTTTATTTTTTTATTTTTAAGAGTAAGGCCTGGCCTCGGTCTTTATTGAATAATCAGGTATTACAATAATTAAATTGTTTACAAGAATTATTATGGGGACCTATGCTAGGACTAATTTATCCTCAGCCTAGAACTCTACCAGAGTAGGCTAACAGGCCTCTTCTAGATTAATGACGCTATGTATAAAGTAGAAATGTTGGTTGTAGGGAATATATTTGCCCAAGCCTTATATTTCGTATTACTAACCTGTTCTGTTTAAGGATGTTGGGGTGGACTGATTGTAAGCGGGTTACTTAAGATGTTGGTTTGGCTGAGGAGTTCGAATTAATTCTACCAACAAAAGTTTGAATTAATTCTACCAATATTATGTTTACCAGAGTTACGAATTAATTCTACCAAAATTGTTTACGAATTAGTTCTGCCAAAGTTATGTTCACAAGAGTTCTACAAACATTATGTTTACCAGAGTTATGATTTAAATTCTACCAACATTATGTTTATCAGAATTACGAATTAAATTCTACCGACATTATATTTACCAAAGTTATGAATTAATTCTACCAATATTAAATTCTACCAAGATTATGTTTACCAGAGTTAGAATTAAATTCTATATTTACCAGAGATTAGGGTTGTCAAATTACCGTAATTTTACGCTTAGAAGAATTTAAGTATTTGCATAAATCAAAAATTGCTTCCTTTTATTTATTTATTATTCTTTGAGTTGTAATCTTGCCAACCCAGTAGGAAAACATAAAAAAACGAAAGCCCAAAACAAAATATATATTTATAAAAAAAAAAGCCAATATAAAAACTATTAATTGTAAAAAAAAAAATAGTCGTAGGAATAAGAGAATAGTTAATTTTGAAAGTGGCCAATGAATTGCTCATAACCCAGCTGCAAATAGTTTGCTTTTGTCTATATAATACATTTATCCTATTGGGAATTAAAATAAAATAAATTAATCAATTAAAAAGATATTAATGACACTTTCTAGTTAACAAAGTAATATTTTACCTTTTCTCCTTTTCCAATTCTGCATTCAAATAAACACAAGTTTTACTTAGACGATTAATTTCATCAAGAAGAAAAGCAAACAGCTTTAAACAAAAAAATAAACAATAATTGTTTGAGTTCACTTAATTGTTAGATAGTACCAAAATATAAACATAAAACTTGTGTGTATCTTTCTAAAATAAAACAGCTTTACTCATCTTGCGACTTCTTGTATAAGTATTCGGGAGTTGTCTAAGTAGTTCTTCAAAACCATCCTTGATTTCTGCATGTCATTTTTGCTCTGATTAAATGTGTATTTGACGCCTAAGCTTGGTATATAATATTGTGCTGTGATTAATAATAAACTGATTTAGTACTTTTTTTCAGTAATATAAGTTTATAATAAAAAAAGTTATAAAAATACTGTGATAAAAAATAGTAGAGTAACAAATTAAATAAAAATGATATGGTAAAAACCTATTTATAAATTTTATAATGATCATTAGAGTTGATTAGATCATGAATTGATAAAATAGCATATGATTATTTCTCCAAACTCATTAAATTTAAGTTCGAATAGTAAAATTCGTTATTCTCACTTTTATTTCCCAGAGCAGATGTTTTCGATACTGAGCGTGACCTGCTCTCAATACTTGTTCCTGATACCAAGCATGACCTGCTCAATAAAAGAAGACAAAAAACCTACAAACCAATACAAAAATCAAAATCATGCGAGTAATTTACAATTATATTATCGAATGATGATTACCCAAATATAATTGATAAATTTTATCGAATGATGATTATTCAAATAAAATTAAGTATAATTGAGTATAATACAGTTAATTGACTACGTAATTACCAAGTAAAAAAATAACCTGCAACTCACCATAAAATATATTCGTTATTTTTTTTT